TTCATTTTATTCATAATGAATTAATTCAATGAAATAATACAAATAAATTGTTTATTCATTTTATTTCATTTTTATTCTTATTTCTTTTCTTATTTATTAAAAACACATTGGGTGTGAATATTTCAAATGAAATAAAATAAATCAACATTGAATTATGTCTATTTTTAATTCACCATTTGATTCATTGGCAGATGAATGAAATATTCATATTCTTCATTGATTTGTTTTTATTCTTTTTTTATTTCATTTTCAATGATTCAAGATTGAATCATTTCATTTCAATTACTATGAATCGTTTTGGTGTGAAATCTTCTTTTCCACAAAGTGCATTTGATATTCCTTTATAATCAAATGAATATTGACAACAATATGAATTTGTTTTATAATTTTCTTTAAAAACAATAATATCACATCCAAATTCAAACAAATTGTCATATGATTGATTATATAAACAAAATGCATATTGTGGTTCTTTAATATCAAATTTCTTCATTCCTTCTATTCTTCCGTTTGATTTTAATGAAAATACAAATGATTTTGAATCATTTGTATAATCATCAATTTTATCAATTTTCTCATTAACATATCCTCCAAATTTATTTCCTTCTTCATCTTCAATAATAATTATTATATGTTCTTTATTCTTTATTCTTTGATCAAATACTGATGTATTAACATTCCAATCATTAATTTCTGAATCAAATAGTATATTGTTTATTCTTTTTTCTGTCCATTCTTCTATTTGTTTAATATAAACATCTTCCATTTTAATTTAATTTGATATTTATAAGTTCAAAATATGGATGTTTAAATAGTTAATACACGTCATTAACACATCAAATTACTATTTTTATTACCATTCAATTTTAAACAAATGTTATTTTTATCATTTTTACAATAACAATAAATATATAATAATATTAATAATATAATAATAATAAAATTATAATATTGTTATTTTCTATAATTAGCTTATTCTATTTTTAGTGTTTTTTCATTTTTTTTTAATAACAAAAAAAATTGAAGAGAAGAAAATTCAATTTTGTTTTATTTTTATTATTTCATGTTTTGTGATTTGAATTTTCATGTTTTATCAACATTAATTCAATCAAATTAAATTAATAAAGATAATAAATGATAAACAAAAATACGATAATAAAATAAGAATAAGAAATAAAAGAGAAAAGAAAAGAAATAATTATTATAAATACAAAAGAAATAAACGAAATTAAATGAAATAAAAATCAAATAAAATGATAAAATTATATTAAATAACATATTAAAAGAAATAATCAATATTTTAAATATTAAAATACTTAATATGAGAAAATATCAATATTATTAATATTTCCTTTTGTTTATTGAAGATGAAATAAAAAATAGGTTAATCATACTTCATTCTTTTATTTTGATTATTTAACAATATTATCTTCATTCATTCCAAGTAATAATTTATGAATCAAAATATAATCATTGTGACTAAATAAAAATAAATGTTTAATGGAAAGTAAACAATTATAATAATAAATATATTTCAAAAGTAGTGTAAAATTATTTATTCATTTTTTAATTTAATCATAACATTACAAATTTATTTTTGTTTTAATTATGTTTGTATTTCAAATCAATAAATAAAAATAACCTATTATGTTAAATTATCGATAAATTTATTCGTTTATTTTTAAATATTTTCTATTTCTTTTTATTTCAAAAATATATATTTTTATGTAAAAATTAAATAAAAACAATATTAATAGAAATTATTTTATAATAAAATAATTAAAATAATGTTTATGTAACATTCGATAAAATATTTTGTTGTTTTTCATTGAAATAAAATAATATGATGAAAATTTTAAAAATGAAGAAATGAAGTTATTTATTTCAAATGAATATGAAATGTTTTTTAACAATAAATAAATAACATTCTTCAAATTGATAACTAATTATTGTGTTTAATTACTTTTAAACAACTAACAATTAAAACCAAATATCAAATATTAGACAAAATAAATTACTTATCAATTGAAATACAAGTGATTAAAAAGTATATTTTGTAAATTCAAAATGAAGAAGAATGATTTGAAAGAAAATAATAACGCAAAATCAGAAAATAAAGAAACAAAATGAACATAATGAGAAAGTGATAAATAAGAGATATTTATTATTGATACAACCACGTTACAAGATACAGAAAGAATGAAAAGAATGTATCTAAATAAATAATTGAATATATTAAAAAGAACAAAAAAGAATTTCAAATAATTAATATTATTTTGAATTTCAATCAAGAATTTACATAAAATAATATAATAATGAATAAGATAATATTGCATATTTTCCAATATTAGATATTCAGAAACATGTCTATATCGCGTCGATTAAATGTTATTGTTCTATTCATGAAGAAATTCATGAAGAAAAGAATAAAAGAAGATAAATATCAACAAAAATTGATGGAAATTTTTAATGGAATAACTGGAAAATAATAAATTTTCAATGCAATTTAATGAATCAAAAAGTTCATCTTGTTATGATAACACATAAACAGAAAATGAAATTGTAAGAGTGTTGACAATGATAATATTATTAACATCAATTAATGTAGAATAAATGCAAAAAGAGAAAATGATTATCATAGTATTACTGAAGAAAGAGATAAAAGAACAAAACATTAAACAAGAAAAGCATACCCAAATAAATAAAAATAAAGAAATTACAAAGAATTAAAAGAATAAATACATGGAAGAAATCAACTATTGTGATTTGGAAATTGAAAGAACTGAAATTAAATAAAAAGAACACAAAATTACCAAGTTATTTATGTTTGTAAAAGAAGAGATTGAAATTGTTGATAAAAAGAAACTAGAAAATAACATGTCAGAAATAATCATCATAAAGAAGAAATGATTGAAAAGATAATAAGTATGTATAATGATTGAATATCATTAGAAAAAATAATATGATTGTATTTCTACGGTATGTTTGATGAAGCAATTCAAAAAACATTAAATAAATTAAATGAATTTTTATTTAAATTGAATTATTATTATTATTATTTGCACTCATTTCATTATTTTATTGATATTTATTATTTATTAATTTGAAAATATACAAAAGAGTCATTCTTTTATATTATTTTTATTTATTTGTTATTCATTACCATATATATCGAAGGTGGCATGTCTAAAACACCACACACTTTATTACAAATTCAAGCATCGACACTCCCAGTTATTATCTGATTATGACGGTGTATTTGAATTAGAAATGTATTAGGTAAAGTTGCAAAGGGTGGAGCAAGATATTATGATAGAATATTACATGGTGTAATATAAGGAACTACTAAAGTGTGGGTAAGACTAAAAGAAAATTAAACATAATAATATAGTGGGAATGAAATAGTCTCTTCTCTCATTCATAAAATAAAGAAAAAATGAAAAAGAAAATGGTTAAAACTAAAACAGAAAATAAACAAAGGATTAAAAAGAAGAAATAAGCAGAAGAAGGATGAGAAGACATTAATAAGAAAAATAAAGCAAAGAAGTGATTTTCTCATATTTGCAAGAAAAACATAAATGATAAGTTAAACAAAAAGATTACTCTTTTTTAAACAACTCAGGGATTAATCTCGGCTAAACTAGGAAGAATATATGAAAAATCTATTAACACTTAATTAAATACTTTTTTATTTTTTTTAACATGTTTAAACAAGTAATTCGTCTATAGTTTTATGTTTCTTTTATATTTTCATTCTTAATATATTAATTATACATTATTCTCTATATATTCTTTTTCTTCCTTTATTTTACTGTTTTTATTATATCATTTCTTTTTATGTTGAATTATTTTATTTATTACCATTCTTATTTATTCATGATAACTTTCATTTTGTTACAATTTTATTACTTGTTGTTTCTTTCTATTTCTTTATCGTTATGTATTTTATTATTCTCTTATCTATTGAATAATTTCCTTCCTTTTCTTCATTTATTTCATTGTTTGTTTTATATAATTTCTCATTTTATGTCTTGTTTCTTCTTCTTTTGATAATTCTTCTTGGATTCTTGTATAATTATTTTCACCATTACTATTTTTACCTTTTTTGTTATTTGTTTATATTCTTATTCATTGTTGTTTTTCACTTTTTAATTCAATAATTTCTATATTACTTGTTAACTTATTTATTTTTTTCTTTTTATTCTATTTTGTCTTTTTTTCGATTTCTTCTATAGTATTTGATTATGTTTGCACATATTTTTCTTGAAGTTCTTCTTGTACAGCAATTTTATTTATATTTGTTATGTTGTCATTATTTTTATTAGAACTATTTTCAACGTTTATTTTTTTCTTTTCTTTTGTATAATCATATTTATTTTCTTCTTTTCTTCTTTGTTTTTATTTGTATTCTATCTTTATCAATTCCTGTTTGAGTTGTTTTGTCAGTCTCTTCTGTTATTTTATTTATTTCTTTTACACTTTCTGTTTCTTTCTTTCTTCTATTTTTATTTTATTGAATCTCTCTTCTACTTTTTCACCTTTCTTATTTCTTTTCCTTTTCTTTATCATGTTTTCGTCTTTTTCCTTTCTCTTTTTATTTTTGTTTTCTTCTATCATCATTTATCATTATTTATTATGCATGTATTTGACATAATCATTTAATTCTTTATAACTATAATTTCTTAGTTTTTTGATTATTATTTTCTTTCTTATACTCTTCTTCTATGATTTTATTATCTTCTTTACTCTTTTATTTTTATTTTATAATATTCTCCATTTTGTATATTCCTTTTCATTCTTTTATTCTACAATACATTCTGCTTTTTTCCATTGTTTATAAATCTGCTATACGTGTATTTCATTCTCTTATATTTCTTTATATGATTCTTATAATCATCATAACCAGTATAACTTTGATTAATTTGTGTATTTTGTTCATCTCAGGATATTTTCATAAGAATTAGAAATAAAAAATAATTGATAATAAAAAGAATAATGAATTATGCTTTATTTTCTTGTAATATCTTTGAAATAGTAATTCTTATATTTTCATTTTTAATACCAAATAATAAGAATTGACTACATAATGCTAATATTGCATCTTTTTCTCTTTCACCTTTGATAAGTTCTAAAGCATATGGTTCGTCTTGCATTTGTAAAACTAGTCCTAGTCTTTTCCTTGGATTTTGTATCATTTTAAGGAATTTATTTCTAATATCTAATTGTTCTGCACGATGTGCAGTTAATGCAAGTAATTCACATGCAAAAGGTTCTAATTTTTTAATAGAAAGGAATTGATCAAGTCTTTTCTTTTGTTCATCTTTATTACCAATTTCTTCTATTACAGCAATTTTAGCACGAAGTATAATTTTGTCATCCACTTCCATTGATTGTTTAAAAGTATTGACATTCCTTTCTACTTCTTTTCGGTCCATTTCAAATCCTCGATAGAATGACATGCATTGTT